TATATATGCATCTCAGTAATCCAGTTAGAAAAAAATCACAAAGAAAAAAATAATAAATAGGTCCTCTGGATGTTTCGTCTCCCCTCCAGGAGACTTCTTCAGTCTGATGAGTTTCAGGTGAAACTCAGCCTTAGAAGCACTGCCTCCACCTGGACAAACATGTTAGTCAAATGCAAAATAGGGCCATCGTCTAACAATAGGCTTGATTGGCTCTATTGTTCATAGAGGGTCATGTGCCCCATCACCTGACCTGTGTCGTGTTATGTGAATGTAGTGAATGCAAGCGGGGGTTCAACATCCCCTTGTTTTTGTCCCTCTCTCCCACTTTGTGTTGGTATCATTGGGGCCCTTATTCACACCTTCTGCTCACAGGGGGCTGAGTCATACTTGCATTTACAGCATTGTAGGCAGAAGACAAATGGACATGAAGGCCTCCACCTCTGTTTAATGGTGGACGTTTTTTCTTCACAAAGATGGCTTCCTTTACTCTTCTCTCAAACCAATGTTCCTCTATATCAAGGATGAGAACATCTTCATGCCTGAAAGAGTGACTGTTGGCCTATAGATGATTGTAAACTGCAGAGTGCTGACCTGACGACGTAGCTCATCTGTGCTGGCTCATTCTTTTGAACAGTGGTTGTTTTGTTTCCCCATGTATGACTGATCACAGTCCTCCTGACACTTAACATACTATGTAACAATACTAAACATCTCAGTTTCTCTGAAACTCCCGCCACATACGGAATGACGACTGGTTTGGGTCTGGGTTTAGGGTCTTCATTTTTAGCTGGTTGTTGGCTGGAATCCTGTTTGGGTTTCTTGTCTGCTTTCAGAAAAGCCCAGTTAGGATAACTGCACTGCTCCAGAGCCTGTCTTGTGTGTGACTTCTCTTTCTCTCTGGCTCCTGTGTTTGTGGGGACACTGTCTGCTCTGTGGTACAGAGTTCTGATGACTCCTAACTTGTGTTCCAGTGGGTGATGGGAATCAAAACGCAAATACTGGTCTGTATGGGTGGGTTTGCGATACACGTCAGTTTCCAACTGTCCTCCATCCGAAACTGAGACATCACAGTTCAGGAACGCCAACCTGCCATCTTTTACATCCTCTCGTGTGAACTTTATACTCTATATTTATCCACAGAGTTGATGTGATCAATGAAATGTTGGACTTCCTGGGATTTAATTTTCACCCAGGTATCATAACGTACCTGAACCAATGGCTCGGTGGCGTCCCTGTAAAGGACATCAGAGCTCTCTTTTCCACCTCTTCCATGTACACATTTGCAACAATAGGGGAAACTGGGAGCCCATAGCACACCCATGTTTCTGCCTATAGTATTGCCCCCCATATGTGAAATAGGTTGATTCCAGGCATAGTTTCAGAAGTTGACACAGTTGTTCTGTGGAAAGAGTGGTTCTGCTGCTAAGAGTGGTGTCTGATTTTAGTCTTACACAGACCACATCCACCGCCTTAACAGGAACTCACGTAAAGAGTGATGTGACATCAAAGGAGACTATAGTTTCATCCATCTCCATGATGACATACCTCACCTTGTTCACAAAGTCCATGGTGTTCTGTATGTGATGATTTGACATGCCAAGTAATGGACCAAGTACTGACACTAGATATTTGGAAACATTGTAAGTGACAGAGTTAATCATGCTAACAATAGGTCTTACCGGTACAACCTGTTTATGAATTTTGGGTAAACTATACAGACTAGGAGTGGCCTCACCTGGGTACAGTGTGTGGTACAGAATGTGATTAATAGCCTTGTCCTGCTCTAACTTTTTCAGGCACTCTATCAACTTCTTCTTATATCCACATCCTGGCTCTTTCTTCAGTGGCTTGTATGTAGTCGTGTCACTAAGGAGTGTCATAACCTTCTTATGTAGTCTTTCTGGTTCAAAATCACTGTGCACCTTCCTTTGTCAGCTGGGAGGATGATGATGTTCTTGTCCTTGCTGAGGGTAGTGAGAGCGTCTCTCTCTTCTCTACTGATGTTGGAAGGTGGTGGTTTGGCCTTGCTGAGACAGGCTGAAACTTTGTTCCTAAGTTGTTCTGCTTCAAATTCTGGGATTTTGTTGTTGCGAATGGCTGATTCTGTGGCTGTGATCATCTCAACCAGAGGAATTCTTCTTGGTGCGACCGCAAAGTTCAGTCCTCTGGACAGAATTTCAGTTTCTGGCTGGGTGAGTTCTCTGTCAGATAAATTCTTCACCCACTTTTCTGTCTCCCTGGCATTTGCTTGTGCTCCTGTGTGTTGTTTCATCTTCTGTGAGTTGTTGGAATTACGAAGGGACTGTTGGGTTACCAGTAAAGTGAACTTCTTTTGGTGTCGGGTCTTGGACTTGATATGCTGAGCTAAACCTGCCTTTCTGTAAAATCCATAACCTGTTGGAATGTGGTCTGATCTAGATATTTTGTTAATTCTTGTCGGATGTGTTCCTCTTTGTCTTCTCTAGCTTCAGTGGTAAAGTTGGTCTGTCTTACTCGTTCATTCAAAGGCTGGATCTGTGCCCTCTGTAGGATCTTACTTGCCCGTTGTCCACCAACAGATGATTTAAGTTGAAGGCTTCTAGGAAAGATGCCACTCTGTGCAACGAAGATTAAATCTCAGATGGTTCCTGTAGTCCGCCTTCTTTCTTGCTGTTTGCTCAAACTCTCGAACTAGTTTCAGGCAATTCTGGCCAAAGTGGTTCAAAATGTCCTGATGCATCTCGGTAATTCAGGTAGTCCCTGTAGACACAGCAACAGCAGTGGCAGAAGCCATTGCCGTCACTGAGCCCCAGGGCACTAAACCCTCTGGTTGCCCAGGACTCAACACATAAGCATTAGGTCTTGGGGCCAGAGTAAAGGTTGTTCCAGTCACTATATTACCGGCCCATCCAGCCTGGTTCCCCACCAGACAGGCCAGAGGCATGGACATAGGACCACCTGCAGCATCTGCGCCCAATGTGCCACAGGCTGGGTCCCCGGAGATTTTAGAACCCCCTTCTGCCGGGTACTGGGGGTCGGTTCCTCGTCCACTCAATTTAAAATTTCTTGTCAACTTGCCATCCACCGGGGGTAGACGGCTGACGAGTATTGATGGTACCCGGGTTTAATTACATCAGAGTTTTCCTTCTCCTAGGTGGGTTGCCTGTCAAGGCTATCGAGCCCCACCTGCCTGGCTGCTTTAGGTTCGCGGTACCATATTCGCCTTTCAGCTTATTTGGGCACACCCCTATACACCAGGAATAGGGATCCCCAATCCACCACCTGGGGGACGCTCCTCTATGCAGTGCAACCTCAGCGCGAGGAACAATAGGCTTGATTGGCTCTACTGTTCATAGAGGGTCATGTGCCCCATCACCTGACCCGTGTCGTGTTATGTGAATGTAGTGAATGCAAGCGGGGGTTGAACATCCCTTTGTTTTTGTCCCTCTCGCCCTCTTTGAGTTGGTACCAATGGGGCCCTGATTCACACCTTTTGCTCACAGGGGGCTGAGTCATACTTGCAATTACAGCATTGTAGGCGGAAGACAAATGGACATGAAGGCCTCCACCTCTGTTTAATGGTGGATGGTTTTTCTTCACAAAGATGGCTTCCATTACTCCTCTCTCAAACCAACGTTCCTCTCTATCAAGGATGAGAAGTCTTCTTCACTCTGAAACTCATCAGACTGAAGAAGTCTCTTGGAGGAGAGACGAAACGTTTCACTAAAGAACCCATCCAGAGGACCTACTTATTATTTTTTTTTTTTGTTTTTTTTTTTTTTTTTGACTTTGTGCCCCTCATCATTCTTCCTCTGGCTGCGATAGACTTGGGCTTTAATGTTGATCACACCTAAATTTCCTGCAAATAATTTCACAGATCTGATATACGACTCATTTGAAAAATTTCGACCCTGTCTTCTTTGTTTTTAAAGATGGTTCAGAAGGCAAAAATGCCTCACCAAATGTATCAGGTAATGCTGTGAGTTTCGCTACCTCTGCCTCTGCCATTACATCCGTGTTTGTTTGTCAGAGGTTCACTTTACCTGAAGCCCGCTTCTGTGTGGGTGGTGCGATCTTAGCTTCAGCGTCATGTCAATTAGGAGCACTGTGCCATTCTTTCTAGACAGCTCATCAGAGGGCTCAATGATCTGTCTTGGGCCTCCTGCTGTTCATTGTTTATTTTAATAATATTTCTGTTATTTGTCCAGAGGTAAATATTCAAATGCATGCAAACAACGCCGTTATGTATCCATGCCAAATCAAAACAGAATGATGTGTCTGTACTTACGAGTGCAATGGGAAATGATGGGGAACGATGGGGAACGGATGTCGTACGTACTGGTGTTTAACATTGAATTTTAACAAAAGTGTTAGTGTGTTTTTTTCCATAAAAAAACTCAAGTAGTTTGTCTGATATCATTGTTAAAGAACAAAAGACACAAGCGATTTACGGTCACAATGTCAGTGATCAAATGATACTTTATATTTATCAAAGGATGTAAAAAGTCACCAGGTAAAGGTTCACGTAAATATTTTCTCTCTTTCTATAGATTACAGTATGGTCACATATTTAAGAGACATTAACAAACACCTGAGATTGAGCTGTGTTGTTTTGTTTTTTTGTGTTTGTCTCCCCCACTTTATTTTCCCAATTCAAATTCAAAAATACTTGATAGATGGTTCTCAATGACATCCTCATCCAGGACTTTTTTACTCTCCACACCCCATTCGTGGGCTAGCATTTAGCTTGTAGCGATAAAACCAGTATGGGAGAACCACAAAAGTGAGAGAGAAAAAATGGAAAAAGGCCACTGAATGATGCAGACGAGCATGACCAGGCTCATAATACATTGTATATAAAACGTGCTTTTCAGGACACTCAAGGATCCACTGAATAATAAATCTAAATCAACGTATTTAGCTTTATTGAAAGTAATGATCCTTATGAGCTGCTGAAGTCTGCAGAGCCAACACAGGCTGTGTTAACATGACTCGGTGTGACTTTCTCTGATATATTAGTACCGGTAACTATATTTTACATACTCCAAATTGGTACATACTGCACAATACTGAGCTTTTTGTGAGTATAATCTGATGCTGTCAGTGTATCCTACATGCCTGTTTACAAGAGTAGATTGCATTATATTCAAAACACTTTTATGTCCATAGTGCACAACCTTTTTCTTTTTTTAAGTTAATTAACATACTATGTGGTCATTAACCATGGTAGGGGTGATCTGAACACAATCTGGAATCTCGAGGAGTATGAAATCCTTGTGGTTGATTATCGCCAGCATCAAATTAAACGTAGCTTTGCCGATAGTTCTGCTACTTCACTTGATGTTTTTATGCCTTCTGTTTTTTTAAGAGCGTCTCTCTGCCACACGACCATAGTTTTGTAACCATCTCCAACTCAAACTTGCTCCATGACTGCAAAAACAAATAGAAACATACTACATAAACAATCTAGAATTGTGCTGTAGACTATCCCCTCTCCTGCATCCGCACCCACGAAATGGTGATTTTATCACGTTATCTGCAGGTTGCTATGTCATTTGAGAACCATCTATTGATCCCAGAGGGAAGTTAGGTAAGCTTATGCTTTTGGTGTAGCATGTTCTTCTTTGAGGCCAAGTTCAGTTATAGAAACACCACAGAACCTCATACAGTTCTAATATACTGTGTGGTCACAGCGTATGGTTTATTTAATGATATGGTTAATTATATGGTTATAATTGTATATAACCATATAGTTAATAATTGATCAATTAATTAATTAATATGACTTAATTACACAGAAATTAAAGACTCACTAAACTTATATATCGTATAAAGTGAGAATTTAAATAATGTACTTGTTTGTGAAACTGAGAGTCCATTCTCTAAATTAACACTGTAGCTCATCCTTTCTGCAGGTTGAGGAGACTCTGGTCTTGGAGCGGAGCAGAACCATGAATCTAGACCTTGGCATGATCCAGCTGAACAGCTCAGTCTTGGCTCTGCAGGAGAGAAACACACAGCAGGAGGTGCAGCTGAAGCTCCTCTCTGCCTCCTTCCGCTCCCTGCTGGATGATGCCATTCGGCACAATGAGGTACTGCAGCTATTGCTGGGGGAGGAGGTGCTGGAATTCCTAGAATGGACACACGAGAATCAGGAAGCCCACTCCCTCCCTGTCCTGAAGGAGCAGATCAGGGAGCTCATGAAGCAGCTGAGTCTTCCTAGTGGGACAGGTAGGTTTGCTGATGCTTTGTCAATCACAAGTGATTCATTTAAATAAATGAACCATTTGAGTGAACAAACTGAATATAATCACTTCATTAACGGATTTGTTCAGTTCTCTGTTCAGTTGTTCATCGTGACCAAAGCGAAAGTCCCATCGGGGTTGGCTGAGTGGTTAGGGGAGTCGTTCCCCTAATGCAAAAGATCGCTGTTCGATTGTATTAGCTTTGTAGTGGGATCTAGTAGAGTGCTGAGTGATTGTGAATGTGAATAGGTAAAAGGAGTCACCTATTGTAGTGTCAAGAACTTTGACTACAGAAAGGCGCTATATAAGTACAGTCCACTTATCATTTATCACTGCCCTGCACGGTCAAGAGTGAAACGTGTGCAGCAGGTTTATAAATCTTGGGCTAGTGAATATGTGAGCATTATATCTGATTGTTAAAAATGTTTTATTGCACTGAAATAAATACAAGAACAAATATGAGAAATAATATATATCAACTGTAAGTTCTATAACCTACATTTAAAAATATTTAGTATGTTATATTTTATATAAAAACTGGATACCGTTGGCCTTTGTTAACCTCTTAAGAGGGTTATTGGATAATGATCGAACTTGACTCAGCAGCGCCCCCAGACTATGTCCACAGCTATAGCTCCCTGATTCATTGGCTGGTCCTCATGAGCATGAGCCCAGCTGGGCAATGTGGGCCACGGTCTACCCTTCGCCTGACATCGGCTTTACATAAGTTTGCATTACCACGTGCTCCCCCATTACAATAGTGATCAGTTTCATATCAGACTTAAAATACGTTGGGACATGTGAAAGTTATGTGAAGTTATTCTTCTAGTGAAAACACATCTTTTCACTGGAAGAATAACTTCACAGTTAAAACGTTACACATGAATAAATAATAAACACTATTAATTCGTATTTAGCTCCAGTATAAGCACTTGTAGTTGCATTTTATTATTGCAGCATAAATTTCATCAGCTAAGTTGCTAAACTTACTTTTGAAAACAAATCCTTCGGTCCGTGGTGAATTTCCAAACTATGCTGACTCATTAAAAAAATAAAAACTCCACCGACAGAGAAACAAAGATTGTTTCTCTTTTTACTTTGCTGTCAGCGCATTGAATCTTGGGATATCCTTGGCTGGTTTGGATACATGGATGCATCCTCTGATTTCAAGAGTTTGTCGGCTACGTTTCTCAGCGCATGAGGAGGCCTTCGAATTGGGACAGTACTTGGTGCGGGGCAGTGACGTATGCTCCCGACAAATGTGCTCTCATGAGGACCCATCCCATGAATTGAGACAGTCATTATCTAATCTGCACCAAATTGTGTGTATGACATCAGGCAGCACTTCAACACATTAGTGTGGTAGTTTCATGAAGTCACTTTAGCCCTTTCCATGTTGTACATGATTGGCTCTCAATCACAGAAATTATCCAATTTGCACTAAACTGGGTATCAATGACCTTTGTTTCCCTCTAAAGAGGCCTATTGAACTGCATTGGAAATTGACTCCATTGCGCTCCCTCCTCCATTTATTCTAAATGGAAAGCTATATAACGACTTTTCCACTGCTGTCATTTGTGATAAAGGTTAGAGTTGACATAAACTACTGGGAAATCTTTGAGATTAAATACATAATTATACATTTTTACTGTCAGCTGGCTACAGCGGAAATTAGTTAATGCCAGCATTTACTAGTTTCCAATTTCTGTGAAAATAATTAATTGGGCAGAGTCTCAACAAAATCCCACCACTTTGCTACTGGATCCAAAGTGAAGTTCAGACTCAGCAACAGTAACTCTTTTACGACTTTTTGTGTTCTTAGGAGACAGAGAAGATGTGCCATCTGCTGACCAGCCCTACCACTCCTCCTTCTCCTCCCTTCCCTCAGACTGGCCCCCTGGTGGCCCAAGAAGAAGCAGTGGGGGAGGTCCATTTGGGCAGAACCAGCAGCTGTTCCTCTATCCTGAGATAATGCAGCATGCTGGAGATGGCAGCGACCTGTGGAACCTGGAGAAGAAGGTAGAGAAGATGCAGCACAGGGTGATCCAGCTGGAGGAGAATGTGTGCTTCTGCAACAGCATCCCTGCTGACAAGGAGGCACCCCACTCAGGTGCGAAGGTTCAACTGCTTCAGGAGGTTACATTGATGAAGAGACAGCTGGAGGAACACCTTAGTGTCTTCAAGAATGTGTTCAGTAACACAGATCTACTGGCAGGGACTCGTAGGACTTTGGAGCTAGACAAGCTATGGGAGCTGATGAAGAAGAAAGACAATAAGAAAGGAGTAAAAGGACAGAGGAAGAGCCGTAGCAGGAGCAAGGAGCCTGGTGAGTCTCGTTTTCTTGCTGGTCATAAAGCTTGATTCAGCATCACAGACTAAAAACTACTGAGGCAGGGGCAGTTCTAGGGGCGGGGCCGCAGGGGCATTGGCCCCAGCTGAAAACTGATTGGCCCCTGAAGTGCCCCTGTCCTGCCACTCATCTGCCCTTTACCTGGGAGTGATGATGGTGGACGCAGTTCCATGTTCAAACACTAGTTGTGCTAATGAGTCAAATAGTAAAGTCCAGAATGAATCAAGCTTACAGAATTCTTCTTCTCCTTTTAACAAAATTTGAACAATCCTGCAAAAAAAGTCTTTCAACTGACAAATGATGGCTGGATTTTGTCACATGCTATGTGTTTGAGAATATTTTATCTATGTTCAGTAAAATGTATGAAAAACTGGTGAGGAGAATTTACTGTGCAAGCTTTTTTTGGTACCACTTTACAATGAGGCTTCCCCAGGGCTGGACTGGGGCCAGAAAACAGCCCGGGCATTTTTTGGTCATGGCGGCCCACCATCATTATTTATACAAATAGACACGACATATCAGAGGATGTGTTTGCATGATGTGTTGTTTCACAAGTTAAAGTGCAGCAGCCAACAAGGAAGAGAGTAACCACGTTTTAAAAAAAACTGATGAGCTCTTCCACTCAGAGACTTTCAAGTTCATGAGGTTCTGATGCTCAGTCACTGGATCACCAGAGAGACTACTGTAGAGAACAGATCAGACAACTGCTAAACTTAAAAGTTTTCAGTCACAAATGAACAAAAAAACAACTAAAACTTCCACCTTCCTAAAAGTCAAATGTAAAGCACTGATTCAGATCTAAAGGTTTCATTTTTAAATTTAATATACTACAGCATTTATTTAGGGTTGTATAGCCTATTTTATTTAACATTTAGTGTAATAAACATAACCCATGGATTCTAATTTCAGGTAAAATTATTTCATTTGACCCAAACCTATTTATTTATTTCTTATATATTTCAACATAATATAAAAATCTGCTGTAAAACGTGAACACACTCACAGACCACCTTTTATCACTTTTCATCTTAAGAAGCTGCAGTTATGTTTCAGTAAAAAACAAATGTGATCATTTTAGTAAACACCAGGGGTCTCATGTATAAACGGTGAGTACGCATAAAAAGGTTGCATGCGCCAGGTCCTACGCCCACATTGGGATGTATCAAAACAAACGTTGCGTGAAAGTGTGCGTTAATATACGTACACTTTTCACCTGCCATGAGAATGTGCGGCAGCCACGTAAATTTTTTCAGTCGACAATTTTAACCCACAAAATCACGAATCTGACCTGAATCCACAGAAATATGACTCTGTTGTGTTTTCTTGATGTAAGGAGCGTCTGAACACGCTGTTAGATTTTTATTTTAGTTTGAGTTTTTATTGTTTAAACTCGAACGATCATGAAACTGAACCCCGGGACTGAAAATCATTTAACCTCYGACAAGAAAATAGATCAGTCTAAAAATGATCAAAAGAACTTCAGTCCAGTCTGTAAACTGTAAAGTTTTTATATTTCTGTCACATGGAAACACACGCAGAGCGCAGGCCTTCGGAGCACACACACAGCTGAGGAAAATAAAATGTGTGAATTGTCTAAGAAACATTTTAGTTCTCACTGAGAAAAAAACGTTGTCAACTCAGCAGATTCATTAACAACAGCTCAGCTGTGATGATTCCTCAGCTCCACAAGATGCAGACAATAGATTTGTTGCTGCGTAAAGTTGTGCGTAATTTATGAATCAATGTCAGCTGTTCTGCAGGATGATATCACCACAAGAAGAATTGAGGACAGCGTGTTTTTTTTTTGTTTATTTGTTTGTATCACATCGAAAAAAATTACAATCAGTTATTTTACTGTAGTTCTGAGTCGAGTCATGCAGCTGATCTGAATGAAAGACTTCATGATTCTAAAATATAAATCACACAGCAGCAGAAACTCGCAGCACTGCGAGTCGTTTCTTCACATCAACTATTTAACAAATATTTTTCTAAGTTCTACCAAACTCATAAGTTTCTCTGTGTTTACAGTCATTTATTAAAGACGTATAAAGGCGGAAATGTCTGTCAGCCTCATGCGCCGCTGCAGCACACGCGCATACACACCAACACCCACACACACCTTTGAGAGTGGCAAACTCATTTTTACACCCTACTGACAATTTTCTCACTCACTCTCCATTTAATGTATAATTTTCCTGCATCTAAAAATCATTTCTGATCCCACAGAGAGGACAGTCTGAGGAGAATCTCACACACTGGACACATTTACATCTATTTTACATATTTAAATGGAGGCATGTCAGGGGAGGTGTCTCAATTGCGCTTAGTTCTACGTTCATTGGGATGTATAAAGGAAAGGTGCGCAGGAACCTGTGTGCGCACAGTTTTATACATCTGAATTTTTTGGTGTGGCGCACTTTTCTAAATTTGTCCATACGTCAACTTTTAGTGTTAAAGCTGCGCAATCCTTTATGCATGATCCTACGTTCACACCGAACGCGTTTTGAGCTGCGGGAGCGGCCGGTTTACATGCAAAGTCTATGAGGACGCGCCTCTAGGGGTCGTGTGTCATGTCACATACGTTTTGGGCAAGATGGCGGAAGCATTTTCCGCGCATGCGGTGTTGCGGTAGCAGCCGCCGCCCAAGCCGCCGCCAGAGTTCAAATATTTCCCACTGAAAATCAAAACAGACGGACTGGAGACCTTTACCTGAAATCGACCGTGTGCAGTTGGATTTTCTGGTAGGATATATCAGCAATATATCAGCACCAATGTGGGTCAGCTGCTCGGGACAAAAAAAAATCTGTGAGCTGGCAGCTTCTGGAGTGACGAAACTAACCGAACAAATCGCCTCTAAATCATCTGGTGAGTTAATTATCTGCAGTGTGCTATGTTTGCTTGCTTTTTAGTGAATAAATCAAAGCCATTTTCTTTTATTTTATCTTTATTCACCCGCCGAGGACACGCTCCTCCCACACCCGGCTGCAGCCGCTGCTGCTGCTTCTCGTTCTGGTCTGAACACTAGTGCGTTCTTTGGTCTGAACATAGTGCGTCCAACGAGAGATGTTTTGTGCTTTTTAGCCGCTTAAAACGCATTCGGTGTGAACATAGGTTGAGGCCCCAGAACCATAAATGGACCTGAATTGAACCATCAGTCTAACATTTATACAGTTGTTGATTCAACAATGGTTGTTAAAGCCAAGCGTACTGGTAGACCAAGAAAGACATCAAAGCATCAAGACAAACAACTTAAGGCCATTTGTCTTGAAAACCGATAAAGTACAACTAAACAGATGAAGCATAAATGGGAGGAAGCTGGAGCCAATATATGTGACCGAACTGTAAGAAATCGCCTAAAGGAAATGGGATATCAATACAGGAAAGCTAAAAGAAAATCATCATTGACACCTAAACAAAAAAGAACAAGACTGCAATGGGCTAAGGAGTGGCAATCATGGACTGTGGATGACTGGATGAAAGTTATCTTCAGTGATGAGTCAAGATTGGATAAGGTGATGATGCTGGAGTTTTTGTTTGGTGCCGTTCCAGTGAGATTTATGAAGAGGACTGCCTGAAGCAAACAACTAAATTTCCACAGTCCTTGATGGTATGAGGCTACATGTCAGGCAAAGGCACTGGGGAGATGATTGAGGTTAATTCTTCTATCAATGCACAAGTTTACATAGACATTTTGGACAGTTTTCTTATCCGTTCAATTGAAAAGATGTTTGGAGGTGATGAAAAAATTTTCCAAGATGACAATGCATCGTTCCATAGGGCAAAAACAGTGAAGGCATTCCTTGGATAAAGACACATTCAGTTGATGTCATGGCCCGCAAATAGTCCAGCTCTCAATCCAATTGAAAACCTGTGGTGGAAATAGAAAGAAAATGGTCCACGAAAAGGCTCCGACCTGCAAAGCTGATCTGGCAACTGCTATCAAAGAGAGTTGGCACCAAATTGATGAAGAATACTGTTTGTCACTCATCAAGTCCATGCCTCAGAGACTGCAAGCCATTATTAAAGCCAAAGGCGGTGCAACTAAATGCTAGTGATGTATGGTGTATGAATGGTGTTTTGTTTACCTGTTTTTCATGATTCCATACTTTTTTTCCTCAGAATTGAGTGATTCCATTTTTTTCCCTGTGCTTCGTCAATAAAAGTAACATTCACTGACTTCCACAATGTTTTCTCTTCATTTCTTTGAGTGTTCCTGAAAGCCAACAAGTTGCACTTTGGAATGACCTTATTATTTTATCATGTTTTTGATCTGAGTTTGTTTTACAGAATGAAAGTTCTGAATGAGTGCTCATCCAAGACTGGTGATTCCATACTTTTTGCCAGGGGTTGTATTATTTTTAGTTCAACTTGAACGGTGCTGGTTTAGCTAACCTCTAACTAACAGCTGACGAGCTGGGGGAAATGTTGGTTATTTTTGCACACTTTGCTGCGTGCACTTGGAGACCTTTCTGCCTTTTGTCCGCAGCTTCTCAGCATGCTTTGTCCAGTGCTTTCTAGTTCTCTCCAACTCTGCTCTGACCAGCTCAAATGGCAATATTTATAACTTTGATCGAAAGGGGCGGGGCCGGCCAGGCCGGCCGAGGAGTGCTGAGAGATTTCATTGGATTAGCTCAATGTCGTTCAAGAAAATCAACCAATGGGCCGTCGCGGTCGACAAAAAATTAGTTATAATTTATTTTTTTGGTTTATGACAGGACCCTAGCCCAAAACCACCAATGTCCCACCGGGCAAGTGCCAGCTATGACCTATGGCCAGTCCAGCACTGGGCTCCCCTTATAAATGGCTTATAAAGAGTTTATAGATAGGTTATTAATTCATCTGTAAACATAAATAAATCATTAATAAATGTTTATTATACAATAATTATGGATGAGAAAGAGACAAAACTGTTCGGTTTCTTACCAAATAATGAGACAAAACTGTTCACGTACATATTACGTCTAAAGGTGCTATATTAAACATTTCATACGATGTTACTACATTGTAAGCACATAAACGATAAGACATATTTTAATATATTAATACTGTATTACTGCATTATAAATATTCACAACGGTCAAAGGGAGACTTATTGTAAAATGTAATACAGTACACTATTTATTAATGACAAACATTTATAAAAGCCAAAAGTTAGTCTTTAATGTGAAAAATCATCATTTTTAAAACTTTGTGTTGATAATCAATATTTGAAATTATTGTTCAAACATGTAACTACTGTCAACAATGTTGATGTATCAAAAAAGTAAAAAAAAAAACATCACACCAAATAATTCCATCCAATCCAAAATAGTGTACAGTTTTACACTTTACAATATGGATCCCTTTAATATTTGTGGATATTTATAATGTAGTAATACAGTACAATATTATATGTTAAAATATGCGTTTCCTAATCATTATTGTGCTTACAAGGTAGTAAACTAGTCTGAAATGTTTAATACCCAAACAGATTTGGCTCAGTACTTGGAAAGAAACTGGACAGTTTAGTTTTTTTTAACCTTAATTAATGTATAATAAACACTTATTAATAATTTATAGAGTGTTTACAGATGAATTAATAACCTATCTATAAACTCTTTTAAAGCCATCTATAAAGGGAGCCTTATTGTAAAGTTGTACCATTTTGAAAAAAAATTACATTACGTGTTTGAACATGTATGACTAGTTAAATGTAAACACCTTACCAAAATGGGGGATTTGTGTGAGAGGATGTTGAACAAAGACTTGGTCCTTCTTATGAATATTGTGGCCCCTTGATGGCCCCTTACTCAGAAAAATCCTAGATCCGCCACTGTACTGAGGAAAACTTGTTTCCCATTCTTCTCATCAAGGTGTGTTCGACCAAATTGTCGGCTCTCTGCTGTTTGTGGGCGAATCTCCCAGGAGAGTCTCCAATGGTGCCATCTTGTTCCAGTCGTCTCTGAACCAGGGTCAGTTCTACTCTGATTCTGGCACCTTCATAGCACCAGTGGATGGGATATACCTGTTCACCCTCACCTTAGACCTAAGGCCAGGCCCCACCCATGTGCTCCTGAGGTGGGCCGAAGATGGAGGCGAAGCTTTTATGTCTCTGCAGCAACAGGAAGTGACAGAGGCAGGTCTTGTGAGCAGCATGAGCTTCCTACTGCTGAGGGAAAGGGAGATGATGAGGCTAGAGGTCAGGAAAGGAGAGTGGGCGGAGTCAAAGTACAACATGCTCTTTGTGCTCCTGCTGCAACGAACAGCCTGAGGGTGCCATGGACAAATCAGCTGACAGGAAGTAGATACATAGACCTTAAAGTACAGATGAAGAGCTGATCAGATGAAAAAACACAGATCTAATTCTGATCATCACACAGCCAGGCTTTTGGACTTGTAACTGACAACAGCATCTTTTTCCTCTCGTTTATGAATTTAGCAGCAAAAATACAACAAAATTCTGCCCCGAGGTTTATTTAAAGGGGCAATATCATGTAAAATCTGCTTTTTTGAGTTTTATGTCATGTTATAATGTTATCCACTCATCACAAACATGCCCAGAGTCTTACTTTGACTTGTTCATGCATGTTTGAGAAATCCTGTGGTATCCTGAGGCAGCCAGGCAGGGGAGCAAAAATGACCATTTGGGACTAGAACCACCTTTTGGGACCAGCTCCTCCTCTGTGGGCTGTGTCTCCAAGCTGAGCTTCCTCATCACAGAGCACACACACACACACACACACAC